ATAAAAATATTATATTTCAATCAATCTTTTCTAATACTTTTAAATAGGTGTTTAATCTTTCATCCCAATTTCCATTAGTCGCTGTTTTAAATTCGCTGTTTATATTCCCTCATTCAATTCAATAAATAATTCTCGAAACAGATCTGGCAAAACTGTTCATACTTTTTTAATTTTAATTTTCCCCACTAGTAGTGCTGCAGTCGTATAATCGGTACAACAGGATGTGACACGAAAATGGTAAGGTTATGTCGACCTTATTGCCATGGCCACGAAAATACATGGTCATGCAATGTCTATACATATACCTCGTCTGTGCTACAGCGTAGCGGAAAAGGAATAATTAAAAATAGAGTATTGATTAAGGATAGGATCATTGATCCTAATTAGTAATATTACAAATGAAATTCCTAATATTGCAAATAAAATGGTCGAAGTTGATCAAGTAGTGAATGCATCAGAGATATGATATATGAAATTCATAATTTGTTAAATTTTATGAAATTTTTAATATCGAATCGTGAAAAAACTAGTAAAAAGAAAAATTCTAGTAAATCAAAAAGAACTTTATCTGTATTTTATGGATTTACGATAGATTCCTGCACATAATTCTAAAGTTATTAATATACGATTTTTATATGACATAAAGTATTCTTAAAAACAATTTTTAACTAATTAAATTTCCAACTATTTGTTAAATGGTTTTCTCTACAAGATCATGTCAACTAGTCACGTTTTATGTAATGTTTTTGAATTAAACTTAAACGTACTCGTATTGCTTCATGAAGTATTTTTTTAAAATTCTTTATTAAAAATAAAAAACATCACATGTATTTAATTATAGATATTTTAGAAAAAAATACGTTAAAATTGCACAGGATAGTAAATCACAAGTTAAATCAATCCATCAGAAAACAAAGCTTTTAATGAAAATGAAATTGGTAGAAAAATATTTCTCACGTTTATATGGTATACAGTTTTCAAGAACATTCTCTTGTGCCAAAAAATTAAGCCCCCGTTGGAAACGAAAATTACGAAAGATTTAGGAAAGATATGAAGTAAAACAAGATCGTGTGGAAGTTGAATATAACATACATCTTTTATTTAATATCCGGCAACGCAATGTTATAAAGTCAAGGGCTTAGACTATTTAATAATTTTTACCACACATTTTTATCGGATTTACGCTGAAAATAATTACACTCGTGTTAAGTGCAGTTTTGCTTTTGGAAACTCCGTAATAACATAGACTTGTTGTTCGCATTGTGAAATTATTTTCAATTTCTGTAGTTTGATGCTCGTTAAATCGGCTTGGTCTAAGTTTACATTAATCTAAGTAACACGATGTAATGTTGTTGCACAGATCAGGTAAATACATGAATTCACGAAAAATTTCATTTATAGTAGAGAATTCGGAACATTTAAATAGCTGTGATCTCGAGCTGCGATTTTACATTTAAATAAATGTTATCCTCTTATCGTGATGTGCGATATTTCATAACCGTTGAATGCGTTAAATAACGTGGCTGATTCGCGGCTGCTTAATTATATATATTTATGTAAAATTATACCCAATGTGGGTTTCGATTCAACGAGATATCCACATCACAATGTTATTTACATAGACTTTCTACATTCATACTAACGTATATATATATATATATATGTATATATTTTATAATATTAGATCTGTATCTGAATAATATATTCGAAAATGTGATACTCTGTCTCAAACGATAAATTATGTATCATGCGACAACGCGAAGTAATAAACTTTTGCATGTAATCTTAAAATCAAGGATCGTTGCACGGTATTCTCTTTAAAATTTATAGATGCTCACCTCTGTTATCTAGTTACAGTTAAAACATAAATCGTACGTTACGCTAGTTTCTTGTTTATTAACAAATTTACCAAGTACAACGATGCTACTTAGAAAGCTACCTGCAAATCGATCAGAGTTTTGTACGTGGTTGTTCACTTTACCTGAACGTTATTGTATTCACGGTAACTCAGGTTCCGGGCAAGGCAATCGTGTACAATAAGTTCACGCTCACATCTTAATTGACAAATAATTCGATATTCCATATTAAATAGGAGAATGATACCTTTCATTGTTTTTGCAATGTTTTTCACTAGAAGTGTACGTGTCGTAAACAACGAGCAGAACGTTCCTTTTGACGCGATCCAGTCGCCTGTTTTAGTCGATAGATCGAATACGTTGAAATTATTCTTTCCAAATAACGATAGATTGTTTATTTTAAACGATATAAAGAACAGCGTAGGCAAATGCTTGATGTAAGATTAAATCGACTAGCCAATAATGCTTTGCAAAATATTGTTTGGCCGTTGTACGTGTTTGTAAATGGATAATAAGGTAATGAGTGGGCAGTGGGAGACAACCCTGAAATAGGATACCTTTGTGAGATATTTTGTCATATCTGTAAACTTGGAATTCTACGATCTGGTAATTCGGAATAATTATGCTGACAACGGCGTTGTATACCGTTTGGTTCAGTTTCATCATTCGGTCGGCAATGTCGAATGAAATTGTAACATTTTGCATCGAGAAAGGGGAACAAGGACGTGTTGTTCTCGACTGCGAGAAGAACCGAATGACTAACAATAAGTTACAAGGAATAATTATCGCGACCTGCACTTTTTGTAATCGCAGAGTATTCCATTGTTCTCTTCACGGTGTCTGCTTCTACCTAGTAGTGTGGGTTTCCAATTTTCGGAACGTATCTTTTAATCGAAGACGAAACAGAGACACATCAAGTACGTTGATTCGCGCTACTCACATCGAATTGTCGAACGATAAACATCGAGTAATCGAAATGCATTGGATCGTTTCATCAAGAAAAAACATGCTAAACAGTGAAGTTTCGAATCGGATAGGGACAATCTATGTGGCAAATGTTCTCCGTTTGTAACCTGAAATTTGCAAGCGGGATCCCCAATTCGGAAACGGTTTCACTTAGCTTTCTCGAGTCCTAACGACCTAATCGAGTTCCCAACCGCTGAAAAGGAAGAAGTTACCAGCCAATGCTGAATCCTTCGGCTGAATGTTCGCCTTCGTTCTTATCGTTTTACGACGCCTTTAGCAATTCTTTCGATGGGAAGGCTACATTCGACCATCGACTCGAAGTATGTCGAGCGTGTGCCGCGCAAAGACATTGGACCATCGAATAGGACGTATTAGATCGATCTCAGCGAACAGAATCGCTGATTGAATCGCCGCGATGTAGCTTCGCCCTGGCCCTTCGATTCCCAAAACCCTCTCACTTTCGTATCAGCAGAAACGTAGCGACAAGGCCAAGCTCTTTACGAGAGAATGCAGGAATTCCTTTTAAAATCGGAACGCTCGCGGATCTGCTGCAAATGTTGCAGTTGCGTTGACGATGGGACGTGGGTGCTGCTGCTGCGGGAGTTCAAATGCTGCGGCGGTGGCAACGATTGCCGACGACGACGTCTCAATGCCGGGCTCAGGTTGTATTTTAGTTTCGCTTGGATCAGTAGTTCCTTGAACACCTGCGAGATGTTCAGGTTCTCTTTGGCGGACACTTCCACGAAACCGTTTTCCCACTTCATGACCACCAGCTCTCTCGTGCTCTCTGTGTCCACCTGCAATGTGGAATGTCAAGTGATTGAAAGTCAGGTGAAACTCGAGCTCTTGAATTCAGTCTATAAAGCACGACGAAGCATTGAACTTTTCAATTCGAACGTTCAGATCAAACAGAGCTCTCTACATTCGAGTGAAACAACAAATTCTCATACAGGTACAGATCATTAGATTCAAACATTTAAATACTGAAAGGAATCGGCAACGAGCCTAAAATTTACCTCCTGCTCGGAGTCAATCAGATCGACTTTATTACCAACGACGACGATGGGCACGGCGCCTTTGGTATCAAGAATTTGGGTTCGGAGCGTCTTCACCTCTAGGAACGTGTTAGCATCGTGAATGTCGTACACGAGGATAAACGCGTCCGCGGATTTGATGGATAGGTCTCTCATAGCCGGGAACTCGTACGAGCCTGACGTGTCCAAGATGTCGAGCGTCAGTTGTATCCCGGAAACGTTGAAATCACCGTGATGCATCTCTTCCACTGTTCGCTTGTACTTCGGCGTGAACGTGTTGTACAGGAATTGGTTGATTATCGCAGATTTGCCAACTTTCGCCGCGCCCATCACCACGATTTTATGCCGTATGGAACTCTCCACCTGTTTTCCACCGCCGCTGTCCGATTCCGACAGTCTCTCATTTCTGAAACACGTTTAAAAACGTCCTCGATAGAATCCACCGAATTATAAAAAGAAACGAAGATTATTTATTTTAATCTTGGGGGATATTCCTCTGTTTATGTTGCAATGTTAGTTACTTCGTGACGCGATATACCTTCACGTTCGTAGTGTACCTCGTGATTATGGCATGTATAGTACTCATAGCACGAATTACATAATCGTGAGACGGGATGGTCAGTAAGTGGGTATTTCGAATGATTGCTACGGATGATGCAGAATAGAAAGAAAACAATATCTAGAAATAAATAAAGTCACATACTCCATGCTACTACGTGACCTAAATTATATAGGCACACGTTGTCGGTTCAAACACGAATGCTGTCATACTCAGTAAGCATCTTGTTTCGCTTGATTGAAAGTTTAACAAATTTCTGTCTTTCTTCTCTGCGTAACGCGTTTCGTAGTTTCGAAGGCAATTAACAGTAGGCTTGTAAAGAAAAGAACGGAGCACAATGACGCAAATAAGGGAGGCAGTTGGCTGATATCTAAGGGGACAACGTCCTGGCGAAGAGAATAGTGCTAATGAACGCTAAAGATCCCTTTCACCGGGATCCACGCGTTATTGAATACGCGTTTTGTGTAGGGGCTGCCCTGAATT